GGGCAAAACAATCAAAGTGAAGCAAGAACTTCTGTTTCACTTGAGTTCCTGAGGTTTAAACCCCCATTCAAAATCTCATTGACATAATGCAATTTCTAAAAATCCCAATCTACATTATAACCACACCTCAACCGTATGTCATTGTTTACTTCATTTGTCTATATAGGGATGGTAAATGTAAAAAAATTAATTTGTTGTCTATTTCTTATTTCTGTGTTAAGGCAAGCTACCACATCATGATCCTAACAAAGCGAGACAGATCAAGGAATGACCAAATAGCATACAAAGCTAAAAATGTGTTCTCTAATTTATATATTTTTAGATTAAATGACTGTGGCTAATGTGAAAGGGGTTTCTCTCAGCTAACTGTTTGGTCTTATGGCACGCTACTTTACTTTACTTTACTGTTTTTGTTTACTCTCACCTAATTTCCAATAGCAGCAGCTATTTTCAGCAAAAAAAAAGCTCAGATAAACCCACTGAATAATACCTGCCCAGCAGGCAAAGTTAGGAAATAACTGTGTAAGTAGGTGACCCTGCTTACTCGTTATAAGAGAGCATGGATGGACATGGGTGACTTACAATGACATATAGAGAGCTGGGGTCATGATGTCACATCCGGGCTAGCCTTTGTTTCACTTCCACTTGATGCCGCTTCTGTAACTCACTTCAGTCTCTCATTAAGCATTTCTTTTATGTGTCTTTCTGGGAAAAAATCTTATGAGACAAGCCACCATCCACAACAGCAGCTGCTAGAAGAGACTGAAACCATTGTGATATTAACAAATTTAAACAGCCATTACTTTGTGAGCACAGAAAAACTACGACTCCCATGAAAAAAACTAGAAGCCCGGCAGCATGGGTACCTATTATTACAGCTACAGTCTAGCTTATGGGAATGGTGTTAAAGCTAAAAACATTAGTATTTAATAACTACTGCCCCCATCCTCATCGAAACATATGAAGTGAGTTATACCACATACTGTTGGGAAAGGTGCTTCCAATATTTTAAGTTATAAGAGCAGATAGAAATGTCAGTGGAGTGAATGAGGTTTTTGTACTTCTGGAACAGACAATTGAAGTTCCTTGTTCTTACCACACTGGTTTAACTTTGTTGAAACCATAAGGGGTTCAAAATTGCTGTGCTGTGCAGTGCCGTAATAGATGCTCATTATCTTATAGTAAACCCCAGGAACACTCTTCAGAAAGACCTAAAAAAAAACAACTTAATGAGAGAGTGCATTAAGTTACAGAAGCTAGCAGAGCAACGGCTAGCCCTGAGGTGCTTAACGCTCAGCTCTTTACAGAGTTATGCATCTTTTAAGACGCAAAGCTTCATCAATCAAACTAACAGATCACACAAACAAATAGTACTGAATCAACATGCATTATAAGAGAAGATGTAAGATGATCTTGTGATGGTGCCGTCTGCATTACTTGGTTTAATGCCTCTCTCTGACCTAATTTTGTGTTTTAAAGGAACTGAATTAACTATTTAGAGACTTCAAAGGCAACAGATAACCTGATACTAGACCAGACACTCCTTCACAATGTGATACCTGCAGGACAAAGTCAGTGGCGCAGTGCACTCATGCCTTTGTTTTTTAAAAAGCAATTTGTTGAGTGTCTTATTTATACCGTGCAATCGAAGAATGGAGGGCTCTTCCAGAATGAAATATCACAGTATTTACAGCAATTACAGTATTTACTCCACCCAGTGTGTTATCATAAACTATGTCCTCCTGCGTTTAAGTACCCTT